GAGGCCGTTCCCTCTCGTCCCATCGCTTGTTCCTGGGGAGAAGAGACCGACCAATGAGGGCTCCCCTCAGCCTCCTCTTCTCCAGGCTGAGCCCCCCCAGCTCCCCCAGCCGCTCCTCCCCAGCCTTGGGCTCCAGCCCCTGCCCCAGCCTCGCTGCCCTGCTCTGGCCACGCTCCAGCCCCTCCATGGCCGCCTTGGGGTGAGGGGCCCAGCGCTGAGCACAGCATTCGAGGGGTGGCCTCCCCAGTGCCGAGAACGCCCTGAACAGCCCAGCCCTTGCCAGCTCGCAGGCAGCCGTGCTCTCCGCCGAGAGCTATTAAACACAAAGGCACCCCCGCATCGTCAGAAATCATGGGATGGGAGGGTGCCAAGGGAAATGGCCACAGGGTGCGAGCCTTGCTTTAAATTCCTCCCTGGCATCGGGCACGGGCCGTGGCTGGGCCGGGAGGCGAGGTGAGCTGGGCCTCCCCAGGACAACTCTCGTGTCTGTAAGCCCTTGGACCACCGAGGCTGAGGGAAAAGGACAGGCCCGGTTCACAGCACACACAGCCCGAGCGACGGGATTGGGATCCATGATGTGAGCCTGAACAGTCATTTCCTGCAGAAACCCGGCGTTGGTACCAAATACTGATCTCCGCTAGCCCCAAGCAAGGCTGTCAACCTTCTTTCACTCATATTTGTTATCTTCCTTGTCTGTTAGAGAATCACACCTGACAATTGTATAGTTAATCTCTTGGCAGCTGTGAAATGAAACGGTAAGCTCCATCTGCCTTGAGAAGACGCATTGATTTCTTAAAATGACAGCTCGCCTCCTCCCTTGATGTTCAAGCAGAGGCTCAGGGCTGGTGTTATGGATCTTGCCTATCATTCAATTAAAAAAGCTTAGGAGCGATGCACCAGCTAAGCGTACAAGACGGCATTAAGGCTAAGCCCTGACCCAAAGATTTAATCACAGGGAGTATGAAGGCACCTTCAGACGCAGGACGCCTCTCCAGCCTGCTGATGAATGCACCGGTCGTGGTATTGACCTTGCCACCATGAACCAGAGGAGCCTCTTCTCCGCAGCACCACAGCTGCCTGGCCAGTCGGGTCCCGCAGCAAAGCAGAGCAGGAAAATCCCTTCCCACCCAAAAGGAACTGTGCTGCGCTTAATGGAGCAGTTTATATCCCGTTTCAATGCATCTCTTTAATAAGGATTACGTGTTTAAGTTAACAAAACTCCTGATGCTGGGTGCGACAGCCTCCGTCTCACTGCAGAGAGCAAAGCACTGGCGTGGGCCTGGCCTCAGATGCGAAGACTGCACGATTCACCCTCGAAAAGCGAACACCCCCCCACCCCACAGCACGCCGTAAAGGCCAGCGGATCCCGATAGCACCCCAGCACCACCTCTGCTTTCCTGGGCGAATATCAACATCTGCAAAGCAGCAAAGAGGAAAGCCAAGGCGTAGCTGTGGGTATCGCAGGCCCGCCCCACGCTGGGCGCAGAGCAGGTCCCAGGCGGAGCAGCAGTGGGGTACCCACGATGTCCTAATGCTCAGGAATTCAGGGCCGGGTCATTCACAATCCTTCTCCCAGAAACGTTACAACAAACAGCGCAGTTGTTGGGAGCAGCCGGGGCTGTGCGGATTCACCAGCCCCGGAGGCGGAGGCGTAGCTACGCCAGGCGACTCGAAACCGCCGCCGTGCCTGCGGTGTGAGAAACAGGGCAGCCGCGCCGGCACGGCGCGGCACCGAGGGCGCCTCGCAGGGTGCCACTTAGACCTCAGGGCTTCCCAGGACGGAGCCAGCTTTTCTGCTCAGTGCCGCGCTCGTTACGCCGTGCTCTCAGCTGGCGCGGACGCAGTCAGCAACCCTCTTCTGGCTGCCCTGCTTTAGCCACGTCATCCCTGCCTGCAGGGGCTCGTGGCTCGAGGCCGTGTCCCCGCAGTTCACTGCTGAGGTCTGGGCTCTGCAGGGATGAGAGAGCTTTAAACCAGCCCGCAGTGAAGCAGCTCAGTTGGGCTCCTTGGCCTTGGAGCTAGGGCTCATAAAACACTGAGGCGGCTGCCCAGCTCCGTGGAGCGGAGGCAAAACGCTGGAGGAGCAATGGGAACGTCACACACAGGGAAGCAAAGCGTTGGAAATCACATTTTGCCTTCTCCAATGACCACAAACCCCGCAGTCCTCAGAAAATGATCTTTTCGTCAACTTAGCACTCTGACAGCCCCACCGTGCCTGTTCGGGGGAAGCACAGAGCCCTCGGCCCCTCTGCTCTTCTCCGTGCCCTCCATGGGAAACCACGGGCGCCCGGCCCCGGGGCGGGGGACGGAGCCCTCTCGCCCCCCGAAGCGCATGATGCCCAGCCCAAGGATCGCGCTGACCCCTCGCCCCGTGCCCGGCACCGGGGATGCATCACGCTGCCCCTGCAACAACCGGCCATTGTGTGCCGGCTCGCCGCAGGGACCCGAGTCACCGCTTTCGGTATAAAATCGGACGCCGTTCATGAAACAGGCAGAGGAGAGCGCGGCCGCGCTCCTCTCCCCGCACAGGCGGCCATCTCCCCTCGGGGCCGGCCGGCGTCACCGAAGCCGCAGGGACCCAAGGAACCACGTTTCCCCAGGGAGCGGAGGGCGGCTGAGAAGCGGATCGCTGAGATTTACGGAGGGGAAGGTACAAATGGTTTTGGGGCCTCCGGTCCCGTGGACAATTGGGGTACAAACCACCGCCGCCAAGAGCACAAAGCACCACGGTGAAGAGCAGAGGCTTGCGGGGGCGAAGGCGGCGGGGGGGGGGGCTGGG